GGGGGGAGCCAGCCGCCAGGCATGTGGGAGTGTGCACGCATACGGGAGTGTCACCAAGAGAGAACCAGCCAGGGGGCGGGGTCTTTCAATAGCACACTGTGGGCATGCCACCCTGCCGGGTCTCAGTTCCTGCTCTGAAAACAAGGGACTGCACCAGGTGATTTCTGTTCCGTTGCACTCACATGCCTATGACTGACACATGGATTAGCCATTTGGCTGTCACTGCCTTGTTAGGTATACAGTCACTGAGATGCAGTTTCCACAACCCAGCCCTTTTTTTTTCCTGTCACTTGTCAGACTTTTTTCCTGTGTTGTTATAAAAATCACATTTTGAACACAAAATTATAGAGAATACTATGCAACAATTACCAAATTTCAACAGGCATCACTATACAGTAATTTGTTTGATATGTGCTTGTCTGTCTGATACTTTATCTTGAATCAAATGAGGACATTTCATCTTGAAATTTTGGGTTTATTTGCTTTTTTATCTTTCTTTAAGAGCTCAGACTTAGCTCTTAATTTAGACTATATTTGCAAGACTAATGTTAGATCTGCCTTGGATTCATTATATATGCATGCTTCTGGATATAAATATATGTGCATTTTAATACAATGTATATTGAGATTGACTCTTGGCTTATATTATGAGTAAAACAAAGGTACCCCTTAAACACCATCAGAAGTTACTCAAGAGATACTATTGGTGTGCAAAGACAAGAAATTTAGTTTACTTACACATTGTGAAAGAAAATGTTTCTCCTTGAGTATTTTACATGTTTCTTAATGATCATACTACATAGCTATCTTTACAAATACTGAATGTATCCTTAGGCAATAAATATGAATGCAGACTTTGCTCAAGACACTTAGAAACAGTCATTTCATGGCTGGGGGAGGAGGTGGACAGGAGAGTTTCTGGGGCCCACATGTTATTTTACTTTCTCTCTCACCAGGCAAGAAGAGCGATGATGAGAACCTTTTTGAGATTATCACAGCTGATGAAGTTCACTACTACCTGCAAGCAGCCGCTCCCAAGGAGCGTACTGAATGGATCAAAGCTATCCAAGTGGCCTCACGGACTGGGAAGTAAGGACAATGCTAAATCCTCATAGCCTCCTGAGGGAAGCCCTTGCATGCATAAGCTCAGTCCATGACTTGTCCACGTCTATGACAATTCAACCAGAAAGAACTAGGAGTAGGAAGAGTTTGCCTGCATGTAACTGTGTGCCATATAATGTTATCTGCACTATTCAGCTCACTCTAGTCACTCCACCCCTGTCTGTCCCACAAGCCATATAGCGAGCTATGTGGGTAGGCTACATAGATCTTCCAGGCCTTTTGGAGCCTCTCATGGAAAATGAAGGCATGGGCTAGGGTATCTCCGAAATCCTTGCTAGTTTTTTTTTTTTAAGCCAAATAGCAAATAAATACATAATGCTCTGTGATTATAATTTCCATGGAAGTGAAACTGCCTCCAATTGTCCTGATGGTATCCTTTTAGGGCCAAGTTGTTGTTCTCAGCTCTCATGACATGTGGCAGGTCTTAGACATTGCTTGTCTTTGAAACTGTTGCCAAGCTGTACTGAGAACACTAAGAATGACCTTCTGTGCCCTAGTCATTTAGCTGTTGCTCTTTGCTGAGATTATGTGAAGTAATGAGGTAGCATGTTTGCTCTCCCGTCTGCTCACTCAGACACTTCTCAAGAGCAGCTTTCTGTCTTCGGTGACTTTCTCCAGCCTTGGCTGTTCTAAGTCCTGAGAACTTAGAACTTAGAAATTCCTTAGTCAAGGAAGCTAGGGGCAGCTGAGGGTCTTTCCAGGAGCTGAAGCTGTTTAGATAAAGGTCTGAAAGTCTCCCTTAGTTCTTTTCTGGAGTATTATGCATCACTTCTTATAGCTAGAAGGCAACCCCTAAGCCATTTGAGGTTCCCTTGAAGTATACAGAAAAGTGGTTCATGCGGGTTCCTTGGGTGTGAGAAAGGCCTGGGCAGCTGTCTGCCTAGTGTGTCTCTCCCATCTGTAGAGAGTGGACAGGACTGAACTGAAAGGCAAGCTGAAGGCCTGGAATGTATGCAGAGCTTGTGGTGGAAGCTGTTAAAGTCATGGAGCTCCTTCAAATCTCCCAATCTCAGTACCATACAGTTCTGTAGCCTTAAGTGCCAGCAGCATCCATTTGGGCTCTGAGAGCTTCCTGGTCCTGTTCAAAATAGAAACTAGTTTGCAGTTTTTCACTTTGACTAATCACTAATTACTCTTCTCCCAAAGTATAAAACAAAGTATTGAATCGAATGAGAATTTTCTTTTTTAAATTATTTATTATTATTATTAATGTTCATGGGTGTTTTGCCTGCATGTATGAATGTGTACTGTGTGCTATGCTTGCTTCCTGTCAAGGCCAGAAGAGGGTGTTAGATCCCCTCATGCTGGAGTTGTGGATGCTTGAGCTCCCATGTGGATGCTGGGAATTGAACCCAGGTCCTCTGGAAGAACAGCCAGTGCTCTCAAACACTGAGTCACCATGCTAGCCCTAAGACTGTTTTTCTAACTCCAGATTTAGTTCTGTGGTCCCAGTAGAGTAAGGAGAGAAAGAACATTCTTGCTCCTCTTTTTCTTTTTCTTTCTTTCTTTCTTTTTTTTTTTTTTTGAGGTGGTACATTTCTTTAATCCCAGCATATAGGATGCAGACATGGGTGGATCTCAACCTGGTTTATTGTGAGTTCCAGGCCAGCCAGGAATACATATTGCTTGCTCCCCTTTTTCATGCTGTCCATTCCCCTGCACTGGCCATGAGGCTCTGCCTATTCCTAGGTTATTTTATTGATGGCCAAGAGGCAAAGGACTATCCTTTTCTTTGACTCTTCAGCACATTGTCTTTGCAGAATGCACACAACAGTTTATTTACAGCCAGACTTCACATAACGATCAATATAGAGTCAGCCTTATGTTTTGAAATCTATATGATTTAGCTCAGTGTTTTTTGGGTATGATTGCCTTTCTGTAATTGCTCTCCCTTTATGCAATTCACTTTCGTCTTCAGAGTAGTGTTTTATTTCTCAAACCATTTGCACACACCTGCCATTTAAAACAAAACAGAAGTCAGGGACTGATGACATGGCTCAGAATTTAAGAGCACTTGCTGCTCTTGCAAAGTACTGGGGTTCAGTTTCCAGGTCCACACAGTGGCTCACAACTGTCTGTAATTCCAGTTCCAGAGGATCCAACACTGTTTTCTAGCCTCCAAAGGAACTGCAGATACATGGGACACATTCATGCATACAGTCAAGCATTCATACACATAAAGCAAAAATAAATAAATCTTTTTTAGAAGTTAGTTTTCTGTAGGGTATAATAAAAACATGCCCACACTGAAGATGAGGTTTAAGGATAAGGCAGAGTATCCTTGTTTTTAACACACAACACCTCAACTCCAATCCTCAGACAAATAAAGGGATCCATTAAGTCCATATAAAGACTTCCTTCTTTCGGGCTGCTAAGCATTCTTCAAGTTCAACTGTATTGCAGCCTGGTGACAGCTTTCCCATGGGATTCCGGTTGCACAGTGATACCAGTGTGAGGAAAGGCCTGAAGAGTTGTCAAGGCTTCCTAAAGCGAGCAATTGCTTTTTCTGGGGGAGAAGCTAGCTGTCTTCTGACAAAACAGCCAATCACCGAATAAGTAAATGTGCTATTCATATCTGAACAACTTTTTGGCTTACAAATAAAGCTCAGATCCTGTTGGACACAGCAATGATATAACAGACATGATCTGAACTCTGTCATGATAGCCCTGCCTTCACCCACTATGTGTGAAGGTTGTGGAAGCTGACGATTTTTCTTGCAGGACAGCTGATGCTGTCAAGAAAGACTCACCTTTTTTTTTTTTTTTCAGTTTTCCAACTTAAAGTGGGAGGAAAACAGGTTGTTTGATTACCTACTGTAGATGTATTAAGAAATAACATACAAGCCAGGAATGGTGGCATATACATGTAGACCCAGAGCTTGTGAGGTCATGGCAGGAGGATTGTGAGGTTAGGGTTAGTCTAGGCAACATGGTGAGACCATGTCTAACAACCACTGAAATAAGGAAAGAAAGAAGAAAAGGAAGAAAAGATAATGAAAGTCGGTAATTCTTCTCATCTGATAGTGAGTCAGACAAATAAAACATCCACCTAAAAATGAAAATACATTTTGGATGACCAAATGTTTAAATCTTACAGCACAGAACACAGCACTGATTCAGGGATCAATGTTTAGTTACACACACACACACACACACACACACACACACACTCAGTGGCTACCCCTGCACCATAGTAAGTGACTTTCAAAACAGAATGAGGAACTTACTTGAATGAAGATATCAATAGTCGGTCAGTGCTCATTAGGAGACACTAAAGGAAGGTAAACAGAGGTTTAGGGTGCTGCTTTTGAACTCTTTGAAGAGTGAGGAAACACCTCTGTCCTTGACCTTTAGGGTAAAAAGAAAGTGGAAGAGTAATTGCACAACGTTTCCGGTTTTATTTTGTGTTCTCTAAATACAGGGTTTAAAAACCATGAAGGATGTGTTAGGAGAAGTAGAGGAAAGGGTAGTGGAAAAAGAAAGTAATGAGGAAGTTCAAAAAAAGTTAAAAGTTGCTAAAAAATAAACAGTGTGAAATTATACCCTCACGGTGTTTGGCCCAATTTCAGAGCAAAGGAAACAAAATGTAGAAGAGACACAGCAGATGGGAGGAGCTGTCCTGGGGAAGGACACAGTGGTGTTTGTGGGAAGGCTCCACAGAGCCTGGGGTGGGGGCTCAGCTGCAAGCCGGTGCCTTACTGTAGTCACAGCTGCGCTTAGAGTTAGCGTCTGTGTTAGTCACCATTTTGTCACTGTAACAAATGCCTCAGATAAATCGGTTTAGCGACAGAAAGGTTTCTTTCAGTTACACAGTTTTCATCCACACTTGGCTGACCTTTAGTTTGGGGCCTTTGATGACTAACTATCTCATGCTAGCAGGGAGCAGGTTCTGGTTGTGGGCGTGACTGGGAACTGAAAAGAAGAAGTAGATGAGGGTTCTGAGGCCCTCATGTCCTCTCCAAGTGCTTACAGTGACTACAAGACCTCCTACTGGACCCCCTTAGAGATTCTCCTGTCTCTTAACACAGGAGCCCAAACCTTAGCCACATGGGCCTTTGGGGAACATCCAATTCAAACTGTGGCAGCCTCTTCCTGGCTAAAATGAAACTGGTGTTGCTATTAGGACCGCACGAAACAACATGTATAAACAGCCTGGCAGGTGTGGACACACTACAAACCCTGACTTCCCTTCCTTTTATCCTTCTTGCATAGAAGACTTTCATGGTAATCTAAGCTAGCGGGTAATGGTTTTCAGTTTTTTAAATTCATATCAGAGTTGTGTAGAATTCTTTTGTTGAACCTTTCTGTACAAAACTTGCTCAAGATCCCTGGGCCTATAGTCAGAGGAGAGTCAAAGCCCAGCCTGCCTGACTTCTGAGTCCATGCACCTATACCCCATGTCTTGTGATATCTACTTGGCTCTTTACAGCTTTGGGTACCTATCTTGTTTCCATGGAAACCCTATTAACTCTGCCCTGGCCCCTGTCCTATCAGCTGCCCCAGCATTTCCTGTTAGCACATAGCCAACCCTGACTCTGGGTTCTAGGCTTCCTCTGCCTAAAGGGAAACCTTTCTGGTCAGAGGCTCCACTGGTTTTGAGGTTCCTGGGGTTTCTACTCTGTGACATGTTCTTGCAAAAACAATTTTTTTCTGGACAGATTAGGGTGTGTTTATAGACACATATATTGTGTGTGTACTTAAAAATGTTTTAAACTTCACTGTGAAGAGTAAAAAGCATTCACATGTATACAGGGAAAACCTGCTGCATGGATAAAATCCAAGATTTGTCCATAATAAGAAAAACATAACATAAGGTTAGGGGAATTTGCCCAAAGATGTGTGACTGGCAAATAAATACATGAAAAAAATGCCTCGTATCATTAGCCACTGGGGAAATGCTAACCGGGGTCACAACAAGACAGCACTATAGACTTGGTGGGTTGCATTAACTAACAAAGAGTAACAGGCTGA